CCCCCCCCAGCTCCACCTTCTCTGCCTCAAAGGATGGGCCCTTCTGTGCCCCTGAGCACTGTGCCAGGTGCTCCTCAGGGCCTCCCTGGGACTGAGCTTTGACACCAGAGGTTCAGGGATCCATCAGGGCCCCACAACCCCAAAGCAGCTCAGCCCTCATCTGCCTCAGGCCTCCACCTACAGATCCAGCCTGGGCTTCACCCTGCATTTGCCAAGGGGGCTCAGTGGGCCCTGTGTCCGAGCTGGGACTGGGACATTTTCCATCTGCATTGGCCAGAACCCTTGGCCTTTCATGAGACCATAAGTCCACAATCACCCCCAAAGTGTGGCCTGTGCTTCGCAAAGGGAGGAGTTGGGAGCCCAGGGTCACCGGACATGGGGGGTTGAGACTTGTCACAGAGCAAGGGTGGAAGAGCTAGTGGGCAAACCCGGCCTCCAGCACAGTGGGAACCTACAGTGTCCTAAACTGGAGGTGTCCTGGGACCCTGGTTCCATATGGACATAATGCTCACACTATTCTAGGGAGTTCCCTGAGATTTGACCCTGTCAGTCTGTGTTATGTGACCTGCCCCTCAAAGTCAGGCATGCGGACCAGGGTCTGGGGGTGGAGCCCAGCGCTGTCCCCAGCACCTCTGCCCTGTTTGAAGTTGTAGATGGCCCTGTTGTGTCACTTGTTGACTCTCACCCTCACCCCCACCCCCACCCCCATATGAGATGGAGGTTTGACTTTCCCTGGGGGTAGGGCAGGTGGCAGGGCAGTGTGGGTCGCTCCCACTGGGCCCCCTGGTCCTGTTCAGCTGGTGCACCTTGTGGGCATCTCTGCCCAGTCCCTTCCTCCTCCCAGAGGGTGAGCAACTCTGCCCAGATTGAGCTGTGGGGGCCCTTTTTAGAAATAGCCCTGCGTGAAAAGGGATTTGATATCGAGGCCTGCTTCCTGTTTAAGGAGCTACTGAGAACTCTTTGCAGAAGTGTGGCCGCCCACCACCCTGCAGGCCCCTGCAGCACATCAGGAGCCCCGGAGGTGGCCAGCCCCTCGCCCTACCACACAGCACACGCACAGATCCGCACGCACACTCCGTGCAAACGCATCCTGCTCCCAGTGTCTGCCCTGACGCGTCATCCCTGGCCTGGCTTTGCATGCACAGTAGTGTGAGCACACGTGTGGGCGTGGACATGAGTGTGTGCAAGTGCACAGCCCAGGGCCCACAGTGCTCCTTCGTTCATCGCCACCTCCTAGAAGGTCCTAAATGACCAGGCCCAAGTTCACACTCAAGGATTTGAGTATTTTCTTATATCAATTGATATAGTAGTTTCGGAAAACACACCTTTTAAAGGCGGCATGTATTTGACATTCAGTCTGTTCTGGGTCCCAAACCAGCAGCTTGGAGGTGTGAGGGGAAGTGTAGAGTGAGGCCCCGGGGACAGATGGGGGAGAGTGGGGACCCGGCCTGTTGTTACAACAGGCTGCCTGTGGGCAGCTCCCACCCACACAGGGCCAGGGGACAAAACTTCCCTCTATTGCAGTCATGCTTCACATTTCTGTCTCATGAAGGGTCATGGGCAGCAGCTAAGCCTGCTGTGTGGCAGGAGAGGAGGGGAGTTTAAAATGGGGCAGGGAAAGGGCTGCGTGGATGAAGAGCTACACACAGTGGGGTGAAGGACGCAGCCAGGGCCAGGGAGTCAGCCTTAGGCTACTGAAATCCTGTACTATCCCTGCTCCTGTTACCCACCAGTGTCTAGGAGACCGTGCCAGGTCGGCCACAGGACAGTGTCCAGGGGACCTCCCCAGGTCAGCTGCAGGCCCAGCCTGCTCATGTGGAGGGCAGGACAGTGGGCCCTTCAGTTGGACACGTTTTCTCTGGCTTTTCAGACTCGGGGCTCAGGTGTGAGGAGACGAGGGCTGGGCTGAGCCCTGGTGTCCATGGGGCAGGACGAGCCGGGGGCATCCCTGCCATAGAGCAGGAGGCAGGTTGGCTAGGTGGGCCGGTCTAGCCAGTGGCCCTCACCTGGCCTCCCCTCCCACGCAGGACCTACCTGGAAGAGGAGCTCACCAAGGCCCGGAAGAAGCCCAGCCTCCGGAAGGACATGTACCAGAAGATGATCGAGGTGGACCCTGAGGCCCCCACCGAGGAGGAGAAAGCCCAGCGGGCGGTGACCAAGCCGCGGTACATGCAGTGGAGGGAGACCATCAGCTCCACGGCCACCCTCGGGTTCAGGATTGAAGGCATCAAGGTAAGGCCAGCCAGGTGCCCCCTGAACTACCTGGGCCGCCGCCCAGCTCCCAGGTAGAGAAGGGATGGGGGCTTGTGCTCCACCAGCACCTGCCTCAGGGTGGACTTTGCAGAGGCCATAAGCTTCTTCTCCACACAGGCCCACAATGTGGGCAGCCAGGGACAGACATTTGGAAAAATTGTCCTGTTCCTCAGTCTGGGGGCAGGTGAGATGGCCATGCAGGGGCCTGGGGCCTTGGAGCAGGTGTGGCTTCTAGTTCTGCCAGTAGCCAGCCCCCTGCTAAGGACTCTACCCTTAGCCCAGGCCATCCTGGGCACAGAGAACCCACCCAGGGGCCAGGTCGTAGGATGCCAGTGAGGGGAGCTGGCCCATTCTGATGGCCCATGGCCCGAAAACTGGGGACAGCAGTGAGATGCAGGCCAGGGAGGGAGCACACTGGCTGCCTTTGACATCCAAGCTGTGACCCTTGTTCTGCTCAGGCAGGACCGGCGCTGCTCTCCCATGTCCCTAAATAGCTCTGGTGAGGCTGCACCGAAGCCCCCCGCGTTCAGGGCTGCCCCATTCTCTATTCTTCCCTCGTCGGTCTCCCCAGAAGGGTCTAAGAATGCTCCCCCTGTGCCATCTCCCTTGCTGTGAGATTTGAAGGCCAGCTCGGTCACCCCAAGGAGCGGGGCTGTGAGGCACAGGGCCCTTCGGGGTCTCAGGCAGTCACCCCTCCAGAGCGGATGGTGGCCCCTGCACCGTTCTTGGCTTTCTGTTGCCTGTTACTCATTCTTGGCCCTCAGCTGTTCCCCTGCAGAGCCAGGGCTGGGCAGCCGGGAGCCCTGCTCGGGCAAGCTGACGCCAGGGCCGACTCCGCAGCCTCATTCAGATGGCATTTAGGTGTGAGGTTCTGCCGTTGGCGGTGGTGCCTCGCTGCTGGTGGTGGCGAGCCTGGGAAAGTGTTCGCCTTCCCCCGGGACAGCTGCTCTGCGAGCTCTGGGCTGAGAAAGCCAATTGCTCCCTGCCTGTCTTCCAAAACCAGCTTCTCTCTTTTTTTACATGCAATCCTCAGACTGGACGCAAACTACACGCTCCTCCTCTTCATGGTCATTTTGCTTTATCTGCTTGAAACAATCCACCTTTCCCTTCCCTTCTCCCTCCCAAGCTGGGTGCTCTGGTCTCTGTCCCTTGTCTGGCTGCGGGGACAGCCAGCAGCCGGTCTTCTTGGGTGAGGGCCACCGGCTCTGAGAGCAGCCACTGTCTTCACCAGCAGTCCACTCCCCTTGGCCCAGGAAATGCCCCACGGAGACCCTGTGGGAGAAAGGTTCAGCCGAGATGCAAAGTCCACCCCGCATCCACCCCACATCCACCCCAGGGCCAGGGCCCTGCCTCCTTTTTCAGAGGCAGCCACAGGGCTTCTACCAGCCCCAGCCTGGTGGTACCCAGGCCCAAGTGTGGGGCTCCTGCAGGAGCCGCCTTTTCTCACTCTTTGTCCCGAAGAGCTGATTTCCTTCTGGAGGAAGTAAGCTCCATGTGTTGCCCTGGAACAGACGTAGCGTGGGCTAAGAAAATGGAGCCATCTGAAGTGCTGGGGAGACCAGAGAGCGGAGGTGGGCTGGCAGTATTATTTCTTGGCCCCCTCTGGATAGCAGCGACCTCCTGGCATTCAGGTTCCAGGGCCAGGCCCCTAAAGGAAGCCAAGACCTGTCCATCTCCTTCAGCCCCTGCCGCTCACATGCAGGAGGGGCAGCCCCCCCAGCCTCACCCCTACATTCTTGGCCCAAGTGGCCCTCACACCTTGGAGACTTTCCTGACACTCTTCACTCTGGCTGGGGCGCTGGGGCCATCCTCCCGGGGTCCAGGACAGGGTGCCCTGTGCTGTGCTGCCCCATTACCCATCCTGAACACCTCGCTGCCAGGGCCTTGGGCCTGTGCGAGGAGTGGCCTTCTCAGACCCCTGGGCCCTCTGCTGACCCCTCGTGGATTCTCCTCAGAAAGAAGATGGCTCCGTGAACCGGGACTTCAAGAAGACCAAAACGCGGGAGCAGGTCATCGAGGCCTTCAAAGAATTCACTAAAGGAAACCGGAACATCCTGGTGAGTCAGGGGAGCCCCTGAGAGGGAGCCGGCAGTGCGGGCTCGGGCAGGATGGCTGTGCCCACTCTAGAGAGTGCTACCCAGCCCCAGACCGAGCCAGGCCACAGCAGCAGTGGCCACAGAGCCCACACAAAACCCTGGCCCCAAACTTGGGCTTGGAAGGTGGAAGAGGAAGGTGGTGTGGTTGTCAGCCCCTTTCTGCGGGTACATGGGGAGCCTCGGCAAGCACTCACTCTTTCCCTTAGCTGGCAGCCTCACAGCTCCCCAAAGCCTTTTCCCTCCCCTTAAGAGCAATCCTTTCCATTGCTGGGTTTCCTTAGCACCCGCTGCCTGCCAAGTGCTGTGCCAAGTGCTCAACCAGTCCTCACAGCAGCCTCTGGAGTGGGGGGACATTCTTGTTCCCATTCCACAGATGAGGAAACTGACAGGTCCGGGACACACAGCTAGGACAGGGTGGAGCTGGGATTCACCCCGATGGGCTGGTAGCCTGCTGGTCCCTGCACCCCCGATCCTCCCAGGCTGTGAGGCCGAGCGAGGGAAGTGTGCCTGGGGAGGAGTCACACTACCCTTCCTGGGAAGAACCTGCCAGCATCGCTGAGCCTGGAGGTGTGGGTGGCCCAAGTTCATGACACAGTGACTTCCTTTGCCAGTGCAGCAGCAGGCGGGCTGGATAGATGCTCTGACCACTGGGACCAGGACCCCGACCCTCCCAGTGGAAGCAGTGTTTGTCACACCTTACTGTACCCCAGGGGCAGGGCACCATGTGACAGTCAGAAACCCAGGCATACCAGGGACGTGGGCACCGAGAGAGGCACCTTCTCCCAAACCAGCTACCAGGGCTTCCGAGCAGCGAGGGGAGAGTCAGACACCTTTTCTCCAAGGACACTCAGCACTTGCTGGAACTGGGGACTCTCCCTCCCTTCCTTTTCCACTGGGGAGACTTCCCTTGACCCCTGGCAAGCGCCGAGGCTTCAGTCATGGGGCATGCACCCGACTCTTCCCGAGCCTGAGCCTCTGGATGCTGGGCCACCAGCTCAGCAGAGCCTGCTCAGAACGCGTGCTTCCTGTGCCCCATGAGAGGGGTTTATTCTTGGTGCTGAGATCCAGGCTGGCCCTGCTACAGATGGGCACCGAGGGACTGTGTGTGCCTGTGTGTGCCGGGCTTCCCCAGCAGTCCCCAGGGGAGGCGAGGCACCCCCAGGGCCAGCGCAGTCAACCCGGGTTTGGAGGGCTCTGTGTAGAGGCCCCTGGCAGAGATATTTGTGGCTGTCCGCTTACTCTGTCCTTTCTAAAGTCAGGGCACTGCAGTTTGTATTCAGGAAGGCACCGTGGCAACCGGGCTCCTAGGATGCTGCGTGCCTCTACACTGCATTCTAGAATAAACTTAACCCTGTGTGAGAAGCTCCTGGAGGCGGCACTGTGCTCGGGAACCGTCCCTCCCAGCCCCTCCTGCTCACGAGCAGTGCAGATGGGAGAAAGCATGGGAGCAGGAGCCCAGCTGCCCTTACATCCTCGGGGTGTAAGATCCCTCCCCCTGACATTCAGCGACTCTGATAGGCCAGATGAGGTTTAAAATCCACACACCCCCAGTCCCAAGTGTTTAAAAATCTGGTCATCTTGCCCGGCTGGTGTTGCTCAGTGGTTGAGCATCGACCTATGATCCAAGAGATCACGATTCGATTCCCGGTCAGGGCACATGCCCAGGTTGCAGGCTTGATCCCCAGTAGGGGGCGTGCAGGAGGCAGCCCGTCAGTGACTCTCATCATTGATGTTTCTCTCTCCCTCTCCCTTCCTCTGTCTGAAATCAACAAAAACATAGTAAATGAATGAATGAATGAATTAATTAATTAATTAAAAATCTGGTCATCTTTCTATTCCCAGATCGCCTACCGGGACCGGCTGAAGGACATCCGGGCCACCCTCGAAGTTTCTCCCTTCTTCAAGGGCCATGAGGTAGGTATTCGGCTATTGCCATCGTGGACAAAGATCTGTGCTCCGCGTAGCTGGCCATGACCTTCGCGCCCGCCACCTGAGTTGTGAGCACATCTCCCTCCCTAACAGGTCAACTTGCTCCAAAAGTCCAAGGGGTGTTTGCAAGGGGTTGTCCTGCTGGGATGGGGGGCAATCCAGGCCTCCCTGCCTGCCCTCCTAGGGCGGTTGTGTGTGTATTTGGAGGGTCCTTTCCTCCATCCCCTCCACCCCACCCCCACCCCCGGTGCAGAGTGTGGCATCCTTGGTACCCTCCCTTTCACATGATGGGGAGTCAAGGTACTAGGAGGGGAAGGGCGAGACCCCAAGGTTTAGCTGTGGTCTGAGATCGGGATAGTGCGCAGGCTGGAGCTGGGTCGACAAGGGGCAGCAATCTGCCATTGAGACTTCCTGCCACTGCCCACACAGAAGGGTTATTGCTGTTCTGGAATCTACTGTCCTCTGCCCCCGTCATGGCCACTCTCTGGGGGCTCTGCTGCCCTGGTGAGAATGGGGGGCAGAGTTGCAGGCTCTGGGCCTCACCTGAGTGACCTCTCCCCATTTCATTCAGGCCTCAGGTATTTTGCTGTTTTTTTAATGTTTTTATTGATTTCAGAAAGACGAAGGGAGAGGGAGAGAGAGAGAGAAACATCAATGATGAGAGAGAGTCATTGATGGGCCCCGGTCCCCTCAGGAGCCAGGTTGTAGTGTGAAGGGCAGGGTGGGGGCTCTGGTGGTCCCTTCCTCACCTCCCTGCTCCCCTGCAGGTCATCGGCAGCTCTCTCCTCTTCATCCACGACAAGAAGGAACAGGCCAAGGTGTGGATGATCGACTTTGGGAAGACCACACCCCTGCCCGAGGGCCAGACCCTGAAGCACGACATCCCGTGGCAGGAAGGGAACCGGGAGGATGGCTACCTCTCGGGCCTGAACAACCTCATCGACATCCTGACGGAAATGTGCCCAGGCCCAGGGGACCCTCTAGCCTGAGGCCGCCCCATGCCCGCCTCACCGCGCCCCCGGCCTCTTTCCTCCCCCTTTCCTTCTTCTAAACTTTTTCTTTCACTGCTGCCTGGGTGCGAGCCCCAGAACTGACCCTCCCAAACTGCACTACAGGACACTTTGTAGAAGAGGAGACGAGATTTTCGTTATTTCCCTAATTGAAGGGCTTTGGCACTGGGGCTTCCACTTCTCTCTGTAAATAGGACCTCCTTCTAGAAGCGCAATGCCCAAGCCAGGCTCCGCTGCCTGCAGGGGAGGTCAGTTGGGTTTAGATCCGGATGGAGGCTGGGGTGGCCCTGGGGTCCAGCCCCCAACCTCTGGGTGGGCTCCTGTGGGGGCCTTCTGCCCCCTGGTGGTCAGTTCTGTTAGTGCACTGCCCTTCCTTCCCCCCTGGCAGGGGCTGTGAGAGCCCACGTTTCAGCAGGCTCCTGGTGCCAGGCTTTCTTGTGGTTGGGGCACAAAATCGCTGGGAACAACATGTTGGGCCTGAGTAAAGCGCCCTCTGATTAGCAGCCCAGGGGGCCTGGGATGTGTGGTGGCCTTTATAGGCCCTTTACAGCCTGGTATTGAAATCCTCCAGCTCTGGGCCAGACCCAGGCGCCAGGAGAAGGCCGGAGCCGACCTGGCTGTGTTCTCTGATGTTGGCCTCTGCAGTTGGGCGCAGGCAGGAGCTGTGTTCTTCCATCGGTGATTATCGCCCATGGATTGAGGGACTCTGCAAACCTGAGCTCCCAGAGCTGCAGCCCACCCCAGAGTCACTTATGCCTCTCACTCTCCACCTTGGCCTTGCTGTGACAAGGCCCGGGGCTGCGTGGGAGTGGGCCAGGGCACACGCAGCCCCCAGGGGAAGAAAGACAGAATCTCCATAGGACACTCCTCTCACACGCCCTCACGCCTCCCACCTCCCTGGTGACACTTGGTGGCCCTGCCTGCACACCAAGGGTTCTTTTATGAGGTCTGGAGTCCCCAGCAGTTACAGGCAGGGCTTTAGCCAGCCCTGGGCAGGGAGGAAGCTGGCTTACTGGCATCAGTTATTTTCTCCCCTGAAATAAGTCTTATGGCCTGAAGGCCTCAGACCCGTGTTTTCCAGTGTGGCGTGGGCAGCTTCCAGGGCACATGATGGATGCCAGGGTGTTCCAGGCATCTCTTTCTAGAGTCTCTAGGTTGCTTGAAGATTCGTGGGGACCCAATTGTGAGCCTTATTCTAATTGTAAAGCAAGTAATTATTATTATTATTGAGAAGAATGTGAAATTTCCATGATTTTTAAAGAGAATTCTGGCTATGGCCATTTAGAACTGTGCCCCTAGGTGTCCCCCTTTGTTGTCGGAGGAGAGTTGGGGACCAGGCCATCAGGCACTGGGGCCAGTTGCTCCACAGGCAGCTGCTTCAGGGACACAGTGGAGACAGTGTGTGCCCAAGAGTGTGTACCTGGAGGGACCAAATCCAGAGGGAGGGCTTCCTGGGCCATCCCCCCCGTCACCTCAGGGTCTCTGGGGGAACTGTCATTTCGCCCACGTGACACGTTTCCCCTTTCATGCTGGGTTAGTGACAGTTGATGGGGGCGGAGGGTGGGACACGAGTATGTATAAGTTCAGATTTTAAAAAAGGAAATCACTTTTCAACTTCCTGGCTCTTGTTCAAAACAGTGAACTCCTGTGTGGGCTGACTTGCTAAAGGTCACACCCCCGCCCCTGCGGAGCGCGAGAGGCCTTGTGACAGCACGTGGTCCTAGAAGGCAGGCGGCACCCAGCTGTCTTCACTTGTGGGTTAGAGGGACCCTGGTGGTCCGCGTGCAGCTCCCTGGGGGAAGGGACATCACTAATTTAGACGACAAGGTTCTACAACTGTGGGCTGGCCAAAAGTTACTTTTCCCCCTGTCTATGAAAAAAGTTTGTTAAAGCAAATTAATGCTATGAACAAAAATTACATGGGACCAGCCTCACCTACTTAAGAGAAAAAACAAGCACTTTAAGCAGGCACCAGTTGTTTGCAAACGATGTGCTATTAGCAAATGATTTGTTTATTAAAGGAGACCCATGGGGTCTCCTACTGGCAATTCTTTGCTTTGGGTTACATTTACACATGAAAGTGGCATAAAGTGGCATCTTTTTAGGGTTATTCTATTACTTAGGGGTTCGGGTTTTGTATTTACTGTGCTAGTTCCCTTCTTCCACACATATTCTCTCAACCCTTTTTTCCCTTTGACCTCCCACCCCCTTGTATGGATCCTGGAATGGGATTTTCTAGAGCCCCTGCCCAGGCTGTCTGAAAGGCCTTCCCCACCCAGCCCCAGTCCAGGCAGGGACTCCTAGGGTCCTGGCCATGCAGGTGCCAGGAGGGTAGGGGTCCTTCCTGCCCTGTCCTTGCCCCTCCACCCCTGCATTCTTGGTGTTCAGAATTGCTTAGCCTTCGAGGAAGGTTTCTCAACTGCTTGTCCCAGATTTGCCTTTAGTGTCATGTAAGAAGTTTTTAAGTTATATTTATTTTGTTGGGTTTTTTTTAATTGCACAAAACACTAAGACTGAGAGGCTGGATTCTGTTTCTCCTCTAAAGCTATGCCTTCCTTCTGAACTCCCTTCCCTGCTTGGTGGAAAGGGCCTGGACGCAGCCTTGGTGATGCCCCCCCTCCCCCCATGGACTCTTTCCTCCGTGAGCTGTATTTAGCTTTGAGTTTCTCTGCATCCATCGATCAACCCTTGTGTGTACATAACCCAGGCCCCTTCTTGGGAAGGAGCAGAGTGTTCACCCCGAGCCAGTGCCTTTTTTGCGGAGGAGAGGACTCCCCAGAGGGTTCTCCTGCCCTCTGCACCCCTCTCCCCTTGACACCGTGGAGAAAACTGAACTGTTACAAACCCCCACACAGTGCCTGTCAGACAGACTGCAGACGCTCTGTACCTTCCCAAATAAAGGCCCTGGAGACCACAGTGCCGTCTGCAGTGTGGTCCTTCTACCCCGAGCCCTGGAGAATTGGCTTGGGAGTGAGGGGTTGGGGGGGACTCTGGAAGCTGGAGGATTAAGTTGGGGCTATGATGACTTCTTCCTGCCCCCCCCCCCCGGG